GGGTGACCAGAACTGTACACAATACTCCTGTACAACCTCAACCGAACGTCCCAACTTTTTTATTCAATGGCATGAGCAATAAAGGCAAGCATGCTAATGCCACCTTAACCATTGTCTACCTATGACACAACTTTTCAAAGAACTATGTAACCGAACCCCTAGGTCTGTCTGTTCGACAACACCACCCAGCCCCTGAAGATGGTGCTGAGCTGCCTTCTTCAAACACTGATGTTTATTTCATGTAAATACCCCACAGTGCTGGTGGGAAGGAAGTTCCAGGATACAGAAATGAGAGTTCAAATCTCGCAGTTTCTGGTGAACTAAAATTCAATTAATTAAATAAAATCCAGGATACCGGTATGAGAAATGGTGGTCATAAAATTTCCCTGTATATTGGTGCAAAATCACTAGCAGTTCCAGGATTTTGAGCCCATGAAGGAACGATGGCGTGGTTCCAAATCAGGATGATATGTGGCTTGGAGAGGAACTTGCAGTTAGTGCTGTTCCAATGTGTCTGCTACCTTTTATCCTTCAGGATCATAGTGGTCATGGGTTTGGGAGATACTGTCAAAGGTACTGTTTGGCAGGTACTAAGTTGCTGCAATGCATCTTTTGATTGAACACACTGCTAACACCATCTGCTGTCTGTGGAGGAAATGAATGTTAAAGATGGTGGATGGGGTTCCAATCAAGCAGGCTGCACTTTTTTGGATCCTGTCAAGCTTTTTAGGAGAGCTGCACTCATCTAGACAAATTAAGTATTCCATCACACTTCTGACTTGAGCTTGTAGATAGTGGACAGATTTTGTGAAATCAAAAGATGAATTGCTAGCCATGGAGTTTCCACCAGCAGACCTGGTCTTGTAGTCACAGTATATATATGATGGTCCAGCTCAGTTTCTAGGCAATGGTCACTCCAGAATGTGGATAATGGAGTACTCAATGGTAGTAGTATCAGGGAATGTCAAGGGGACATGGTCAGATTCTTTTTGGTGGAGCTGGTCATTGCTTAGAACTTAGGTGCCCTGCATGTTAGTTACCTGAACATTGTCCAGATCTTGCTGCATATGGACATGACTGCTTTAGTATGTGAGGAGTTGCAATTTGTAGTGAACATTGCATGATCATCAGCAATTGTCCTCAATTCTGACCTTCTGACTGAGGGGAGGTTATTAATGAAGATATTCAGGCCCAGAGTGAACTAATGCCATCAGCACACACACATTGCTGAGCTGAGAGTGTCTGCACTGGCTTAGCCACATTTGTCAGATGGATGTCAGGCAGTGTATTCAAAGATCTTCACCACAACAAACTGGCCACTGGGTCATGACGTCTTGGGCTTAAAGGACACCTGCAAGCAAGGTATGAAGTTGACAGACACTGACAACTGCGAGACAGTTTCCAATTGCTGTGACAGCTGCAGGCTGACTGTTTAGAGGAGCATTGGAAAGGCAAGTAGAAACAAAAACCTCAGCTGACCAGAAAAGAGAGAGAAGATAGACAGAGTCTGAAGAAGGCTCCTTGCAGGAAAGAACTGTTAAACTGTACTCCTGAGAAGACAAATGAACTAGACTAGTTCTGTGAAGTTGGGGCTCTAGCGAGAAGTCAAGAGCAAATTTCAGTCAGAACTTGGAAAGAATTTAGAAGTCAGTAAGCACCCAAGTGTTGGTTAGAAGCAGAAGAAGCCATGTGCCTTGAATAGTTCTGTGCAGCAGAGAGTGGGAGTTGAAATATCTAAAAGAGTAATTGCTTTGTGTAATTGAGCAAGATTAGAAGTTGGAAAGAATCCAGGGGCAGTACTAGTTTGGTGAAGCTTGCTGTCTGAAAGGCTGGAGTTGTCTGTGAGTGAATACTTAAGTTCAGTTTCTAGATTCCATAGCAATGTCAGGTCAGGGCTGGAGGATTGCACTGTTGCTCTAATCCCAGGTCTCCATAAGTCACAATATAAATACTTTTTCTGGTTACCAATTTAACCAATACCTTATTTATATTAGGTTTCAATCAACAAGATGTCAACCATATTTCTTAACAGACAGTTATTAGTTTATCTAACAAAATGAAATCAATAAAGATGCAAATAATTAACATATACAGTGATAGTGATACAAATGCTTATACCACTAAATATCCCCAAAATATATACCCTTTAAGAAAAAAAAATTCTCTGCAGAGATTGGAATTAAAAAAAAACATAACTTTGGTCACTTCTTACTTGTTCTGACATTCTGGCACATGTGCTCAAGTTACTAATTACGCAGTTTCCATAATCCCTTGTGAAGTTTTAATAAGATTCAGTGACTCACCACCACTAACGTTTGGGTGGGTGGTGATGTTGGGGTTGGGGGTGGGGTGACAGAGGGAAATTGCATGGATTTCTCAGCCATGTCTCAATTGCATTTTTTGTTCTGTGGGGTGTTTCGACCATAGTTTGTTCTTTACTCACATTTGCCTCATTTTAACTTTGGGATGTTAGAATGTCTTATCTTTGCAAAGCCTAAACCTAGTTTGTCAATAATCTTTGTGTGCTTAAGTAACAATAAACTAGTTACTCTTTGAGTACAGGAACCTGGCTGACTTGTTACATCTTCAACTTGGTAAAATATAAAATTTTATCATTACCAATAAAGAATTGGGACTAGAAAGGATCTCCGATCTTGGTCATAACAGCTCTTTATGGAAGGAAACGTGTTGTCCTTACACGGTCTTGTCTACATAACTCCAGATTCACAGCAATATGGTTGATTCTGATTGAACTCTAATCTAAAGTGGTCTCACCACCCACTCCAATGTAATCAAAAATGTCAGTTCACCACCTGCTCAAGGGGAATTATGGATTGCGATTAATGCTGTCCTTAATGGAGACAACAACATCCTATGAATGTACAAGAGAAAACAAAGACTTGAAATTTTTCAGTGCTTTCCATGACCACCAAATATCTTGAGGTGATTTACATTCTAAGGGTGGCAGGCAAACTCCAAGAAACAAGATGTCAGCAACCCTACTGTCCATGGTGGAGCTATCAAAGCACGTAAGAGAGAAGATGCCTCATGATGGAAATGTGTTGTGAACAGAAATTTCAATGACCTTTGAATTTAATAAAAGGCCAGAGTTGCCAAGCTGTTACTTCCTCCCCTGAACAATGCTTCAGGACCTTGGTGGGTGCAAGGAAAATCACTGTCTAGCAGTATAGTGCTACCCCATCCTTCCCAACCAGGTCTGCACCACAAGGTGCTCTCCATGTCCACCTCAGCTTCTCCCAGAATGAAAATGGCCAAAAGTTGCAATGTGCTGGAAGGCCAGCACACTGCTCTAAGGCATCAGTATTTGAACATTTCCACCTGTGCCTCTGCTTCTGACTGGAATTGAAAATTCTGCACACTGTATCTCACTTGACAGTTGGTGAACTTCCTCCTGGATGAGTTATTGACCCCAATTGTACATGTGCATTGGCTTCAGGGTAAGACCGGAAGAAAGTGAGTAAAAAGAAAAGACTACTGTTTACTTGTAAAACACTGCTTTATTGATTGTATGCTGCCAATGATCTGACAAATGCCAAGTTATCAAACTCATTAATCAGCGATTTCTTTCTCTTTGTGTATAAGTCCCTCTCTGCACAGTCTCCCTTTGTACAAGATGTTTCTGTCTCTTTCGAGGGTCTGTCTCTCTCTCTCTCTCTCAAGACTCTGAACTGCAATTTATGCCCCAACTGAGACCAAAAATTGGACAATTAGAGAACTTAGCAATTCCAAGTCAACATTAACAGCAATGGAGTTACACAAAGTACACAACTTCTGATACATCATATTGCTTTAAAGGTCGCTGACATGGAAAATGTACAAAAGATTAATAGGTCTGCAGTTTATACGATTCCTTTTGCACTAATGGAAAATACATTTCTTCTCTACAAAGGATTTATAAGTACTCTAATACAAGAAAATAAATATTGCAAAAAAAAAGCCAAAAATAATTTAAAATAGCATTTCTTCTTTATATATATCATCTCCATATTCTCTTTATTAACAAATGGCACATCGCTTTTCCTTGAAACAAAAGATACACTAGGCCCCCTGCTTGCCATAATTGTGTGACCTCTCCAAGAGCTCACACTGAATTTTAATATTTTACATACAGCGTAGACAGCAACTTAATTCAGACAACAGACGAGATTCCTTTCTTTTGCAGTTTCTGTATTGAGTACATATGACGGAAGAAACTACTCAGCAGGCAGTATGGTCTAGGATTGGAATACAGTATCAGCAAACAGCGTATATGAATATATTGTTAACTGTTCAAGCACATTGAAACAAGCACTGGTAAAAGGCAGTGTGTTTAGTAAGGTCTGGAGTTCCTATGGTACATACTATTGCTACAGTCTAACAAAACCTGAATATGGAAAGCTTTTTTTTTAAAATGTTGTCTATATCTCTGTTTATACTACATTACCGAATCTATATGCCCTTTACATTGATACAGCAAGCACAGGTAATCTACAGAGTCTGAATGTGACTCCTTTTGAGAAACTGGAACAGAATATCCATTCTGAAACATCTATAATTTCATCAGTTTCTTCAACTTGTTAGTATTGGTCATAACTGACCATTCAATGAGCTTGTGCAATGACTCCAAATCAATGATTGTGTGTGAAATATTTATACTAGTCTATGTATCCTACAACTGGAAATTTGTATGAATTACAACGTTAGACACATTGGCTACCCTTTCTTGATAAAGTATTGTTGCTTTTTCCATATTTATTACATGGGTCTTAGAATTCATCAGTTGCAAGTTATTTTCCAGTAAAATGCAGTAATACCTTCATAATCCTGATTTGTCAGCACCATCTGCCATCAATGATGCACTGAGAGTGTCTGCACTCAGATTTATCAGTTCAAAAGTAAAATCCACAAATGATCTCATATCTTAAAAGTAAAACAGTGCAATCTAAAAAGTTACAGATCAGGAATAACTTCAAGGTTAGGATTTAATCAAGAGGAGTCAGGTGAAAGTTGTACATGTTCAGCTTATTAACAAACTCCTGAGCCAATGATAACCTCCTAGGTACTGATTGATCAAACATGGAAATCAACAGGTATCACTGAATCAGATTCTGGTCTGTAATGCACTCCTAACATGTCATTGATCTTAAAATAATTCATCTGTTCAGATCTGTTATGACACACCTCTGAGGCAAGCAGGACTTGAACCCAGTATTTCTGGAACAGAGGCAGTGTGCCACGATACCATCATTTTAATACACCACTATACACATACAGCTGTTCTGATTCACAGTTAGATTATTGGTCAGAAATTGCTCCCAGAATTCATCACTCTACACACAAACCATATAATGCCCCCGATTACAGCCCAATTTCTGACTCTCCATTTATGTTCTAGAATGTTCATTATTCTGTGCATTACATATGCTTATTAAATAGACTTCTTGCAAACACTGTATTTACTCTGCCTACCTCAAAGATCTTGAGAAATAGCAGATGGTGCCTACATCTGAGCTGGATGGGATAAACACACAGGACAGTTGAGCTGCTCTAAGTTTTGCTTTGTGCAGTCTCTCCTCTGATCTAGCTTAATTTAAACATTAGGTCCTAAGCACAAATTCTATGCCAACTGATCAGACACTATAGTCTTTTTTCTCCCCCGCTTGAAGTGTTTCTTTTCCCCACCCTCTTTGTCTCTGCATCCACCCCAGCATCTCAGCCCTGCCCACCAACAAGATAGGCCATCCCCCAGACAAACAATCTGACAGCCAACTAGTTCCAAAGCTGCTGCATACTTCCCCCCTCACTATATGGTTCACGTCTGTTTAGTTGGATGAAGACTCTCCCTTCACAGGCAGAGAGCAATTTACCTTTGGACCACAATACACATCGTTCATTTTTCTCTTTTAAAATTTAAAGATTTGGGCTTTTAGTTACATACCATCTATATGTTCATGAGCTCCACTACCAATTTTAGATTGGAGGCTGCATGGGAAAGGTGGTGAAGTATGCTGAGGGAGGGCATTATTGCTAAAGGTGTCTCTACAGATATACATTGAATTATGTATTTCTCATCATGGAAATCCAGATTGTTAACTTGGAACGTGCTCATTTCTTATGAGAACATTGTCTGCCTGTAACATCTAACAGTGAATGCATATTAACGGGTTTATAATAGAACATGGCTTTGCTACATATAAAAGCCACATTCAAAAGTTGTTTTGATTAATTTACAAATACATTGTATAATTTGAATGTTAGGAAGATCCTAAATGTTTATAAAGAGAACAATTTTAAAAAGTTAAGGTATTTACTCCCAAACTAATCTACTACTTTGTCTTCAGTGATACCATAAATTAGATTTTTGTAGTCTCAAAGCCCATGGTAGGATTTTCAAAAACCTAAATCATTCATTAAATCCAGCTGCATCCTCTGTTTATCTTATCCTGACAAGAAATTAATAAAACATGAAACAATCTTTGACTAAAGAAATTCTTCCAACCTTATTCTTCCAGTCTCTGCATACATTTCATCAATTTTACTCCACAAAGAGATATGGATGAATGACTTCTACACCACATTTTTAAAGTTTTTTCTTTCTAAATGATTAACTCAAGGCTTATTGTCTGCAAACCGATCGATAGATTTTTTAAAAAAATGGAGAGCTTAATACCTAACATGATAAATTGATCAAGATTTTATACAAGTTTTACTAATAAATACAATCTTTATCTTAAGAGGTAAAAATTATTCTGTTGAAGGTACAGAACAATGAAAGATTAATGGAAAAAAATGTATTCAGAAGTCTTAAAAAAACTGGAAGGAATCAATGGATACCATTTAACTCAGACACAAACAGGCTGTTCTTATTGTCTTATGGTTCTACTCTTGCAGGACTCCCTGGGCAAATAGATCTGTGGAAAATGTATTGGGACAATTTGTGAAAAACCATTGTTGAGGGCTTGATAAACAATTTAACAGCTGGTACACATACACTCTACAGGAGTATAAATTAGCCTGTGATTTTACCACAAAACAATCACCATGTTTTTTCTTTCCACCAACTGTTTTCCTGGGTTTACAAGCACAAGCTATGTAATCTCCAATGACAGTTTCAGATTGCAGCAGTTGGGAGAATGACAATTGTATGAGATAATGTGATTCAGAGTGGAGCATGAATAACACTGAACGAGAAAAACAAATCATATTTAATATGGATTTCCCAATAACATTGTGGAGTATCAATAGGTTAGTTAGTAATTAGTTCAACTGTATGATAACCAGTTAAAGTGAGCTGTGTGCACTTTACAGGCTGAGATTGTACTCTCATACACTTGTTTCTAATGACAAGTACATAATGGATGGTTACTAATAAAAACAAGAATCATTTAGGGTACATAATGGTATTAGAAGAGCACTGCAAAATTCTACGGCAGCGAGCAACACAGAAGTGCTCACTCTACAATTGAATATTTGGGGAAAAGGCCAATGGTCTTCCCCAAGGAGATGAATTGAGAATACCAGAGGGCCAGTCATGTGTGGGTCATTTCCATGCATCCAGTTGTGATGAACTCAGAACGACACCAGCAGAAACCAGGGAGGAGGTCATTTTCCTCTCAGGAATACAGGCGGTGTTTAGTGCAGAGAAACTAGGCTCCTGGGGACTGATATTATATGCTTACAATAAAGTGACATTTACTTTTCTGATGGTTTAACCAAATGGCTTTTTCGAAAGAAATGCATCACATATGTTTTAAAGACACTACTGAGTGTGGGCCAACACAAATAAATACTCACTGATTGATGACTTCAGTATATCCAAAATGATTCATTAGATGGGAATTGCTGAGGAACTGATAGATTACAAAGGGAATGGCAAACATTTTCTGTTCACTAAGCGAAGGCTCCTCCTAAACTTTTAATAAGGAATTCAATTTGAACACTTTCATTGTTGGAGTGACTTGAGGGGAACAAATATTCCCAATTACATTTTCCTTGAATTAGCACTTCTCTTTATAAGAATGTGCCGAGGATGGAGTTTGCAGACCCAGGTTCACTGTGTGTTCCATTCTTTTGAGACTGCCTCAAGTGGTAATGTAATGAAATAACACATCAAAATAAATGAGACATTCCAGTCCCTTGTTACATTTAATTGTTAGTGTGACAATAACAGAATTCCCTTTGGTTTTTGAGGTGTTCAGGGACTCCAGTCCATCCTGAAACCAAGAAATGCTAATCTTTGCAATTACCAGCAATAAATATGCCTCTGTATAGTCATCATCAGGTGTCTCTCTGAAGTCATGCATGATTACAGACATAGTGCAGGAGAAGCAAGTCTTTTTTCAAACCAATGATATGTGCTAAGGTCACTGACAATAGCGATGGCCCTTTCCCCCAATTTTCTTCTCCCTCCTCTCCTGAAAAAAGTGACTAGTACTGGGGAATCAACTACCAGAAGCCACACCATGACCAAATAGCCAATTCACATATGTGACCAGAGAGTATCATGAGTACTATGGTAGTTTGACAAGGGTAGGCTAAACTGCTGAGCTCTAATCTCACTCAATATTTAAACCATCAGACTGCAGTCAGGAATAACACATGTAGGTATTTTTCTTTCTTTTTTTCTTGCTCAGAGACACTACGGGCCAGTGGCATCTCATCTGTTACTATTCAGCCTGAGATCAGCACAAACCAGGGATTCTAACCTGGAACTTTCCTAATCTCTACCAAATCATATAGAAAGTTTACCACAAAAGCCATTCAAAGACCTGTGAGACATACATGCTCAAGGGCACTGCTATCAAATTGTGAAAGCGGCTGGTTTTGATGTAAACAGATTCTTACAATAGTCTTGGTATGGGCCAATTGCTGGGGGAATCCAACATTTTGTGTTGTATTTCTCAACTTTCATTTATTTGGTGTCATTTTAACACGTGTGAATGTTCACGAGTTAAAAGACATGCATATGTGACGTATCAATAAGATAGAATGATAAATTTACCATGAAATACGAGTTGCCTTTTGTTGAAGTAATGCCATTGGTACAGAAGAATGTTTGTGACATCACTGATGGCCTTGACAATGTCACATGACAGTTACACAGGAATCACCCCAAACTAAATGGAATGTCCAGGCAGCAGTAAAAGTGGGAGGATGAGGCTTCCTATAATGGGCAGTCTTGGATTTTCCAGCCTGACTATATTTCTATTCACTTTTGGCACATAATGAAGCAAAACACAGGTGCAGACTCCTCAGTTTTCCAAACAAGTAACCCCTTAAAGAAAACAGATACCAATACATAATTTACACTGCCCTCCTAGCCAAAGTTATTTATACCAGGGAAAGGAGCTGGTGGCTGTGAACACAAGCATCCCGATTATTTTAGAGAGAACTCTGTGAAATTATGCAGCTATCTAACATACTAACCCATATGAGAGTAAATACTAAGACAATGCATGAGAGTCAACAACTGTTGATAGTTACTTCAAGGCAAGAAATAGCAACTGTAATTTAATATAAACAGTTAGTTCACTGAACCTGGCTTTACCATTTCTCACAATTCAAAGTTGTATTTTTTCCAGCGAGTTTAATGGAAATGCATTTTTGAAAAGGGCCCAGGATTAAGACCATTTTAAATAAGTTATTGGTGCAGGGGGAATAGAAGGGCATAATACTCAAGATTTCAATACAGCACAAAACTGAGAACCCAGAGTATGCCCTAAGCTGCAGCAGATCCAACCCAGAATTGTTCGGTCTTGGCAGTGAAAGCAAAAATGAAAAAGTAGTTTTGCTGGGCTTGTGAATATATAGACCTTATTTAACTTGAGATTTAGTGCATCACAGTGGATGGACAGCATGGTCTAAATTGTGCATTTTAATAGAGTCTGTTGAAGTTTTGATCACTGAGAATCTGAATTAATCATCACAGTCATGTGCTACTTTAGGCCCATATGACAAGGCTGCAGGTGCTTAAAAACACCCACAAGCAAACCTCATCTCAAATTAGGTTCAGTCATAGTGGTTTCTTATTGGCCAGAAATGCTGTAACTTTGGTTTAGATATCTCTGGTTAACAACACGTCCTGTACATTTTCAGTAAGTACCAATGTTAGCAGGAAGTTCTTTTTGTAAGGACTTCCGATTGTTGAGCAGAAGTTCCTGTCACAGAAGCCTTCTGTGCAAGGTAAATATGTCATTAGCAAAAAAATTTTAAAAATAATTAACCTGAACCATTAGTAACACACTCAATGACTAACAAGTTTAAGGAATAAGCGACTAAACTTTATCTTGTCTCCAACTTGCTTTTAAGCGACTAAAAGCTTCCCAAAAAACAAAATTATCTTTTAGCTTATAATAAAAGTGTGAGTGGTCATTTGATAAGCCTTCTTTGAACTTACCACAAATTTGATTGTGGTCATAAAGTTCAAAGACTGTCACAGTTAAAGTTTGAAATCGTCATATCATTGGGTACGAATAGCAACCTTTCTAGAACTTTCATTCAACACAAATACTTTAATCTGACTAAAAACTGAATAATCTGTTTAATGTAACACATCAGGGAGGAAGTTCTGGAGAATAACACTGAATTAGCTGATTGCTTTGGCACTAATGATGGGTTATATGAAGGAGGTTAATCAAAAAAGCTGAAATTGGAGAGATTAAGGGTGTGGGAGGTTATATAAAGCTGCAGGAGATGGAATTGGGTGAGGCCCTAATAAGATTGATGACAAGTCACCAAGACTTTACATTTTAAACACTGGCTGACTGGATTCATTGTAGGTCAGCATGGACAAGATGATGGGCAAGTGAGACAGAAATTGGGAAATTCCTCTGAACTGCTTTGTTCACATGGCTTGATCATGCTTGCTGAAAAGTAACTGCAATGGAGTGGGTGCAGATCCAATTGGTTACCTCAGTTGGCTGGACTGCTAGTTTACAATTCAGAATATTACCAACTGTATGGGTTCAATTCCTGCTCCGGATAAGTTTACTGTGAAGGACTTTCTTTCTCAACCTCTCTCCTTGCCTGAGGTGTGGTGATCAGTCATTTCTCTCTCTCTAATGAGAAAGAGCAGCCTTATGGTTTGGTAGGACTATGGCAACTTTACCTTTCAATGTGGGATAAATGGTTGTATTTTTAGATCAGCTCGAGTTTAATAGGTCAGTGAGGAAGACATTAAAGGAATCAAGCCCTCAGTTGGGCAAGAGTTTTGTGGTTAAAAAAAGGATAAGGTGGAATTGAGGCAGTGATTGCAGTAGATGTACTAATCTTTTGCAGAGCTAAATTCTGATGGAGCAAACAACTGGGAAGGAAATTAAAATCAACGATAATGATGCACGCCTGGTAAAACTGTTGACTTCCAAGTGTTTACTTGACAGACATTGTATCTCATTCACAGCTTGATGTCAGGCAAACAAATCCAATAGCACAGAGGTGATGGACTAAGAGAAATAGTGTAGAGGTAGAGCTGGGTGTGTTTAGCATACCTATATGGAGTCTAACCCCCTGCCTGTTCATGTTACTACTGAAAATCTGTGTTGGAACCTATGTACGTTGTCTTTTGAAAGGCAGAAATTTGGAATATTGAGATTTGTCCTTTGGATTTAGCTTTCATTTACCCAATAAGTCCTTTAAAATTATATTAGTGCATTCGGTGCTGACGCTGAACATGGTATTAAAATGGCATTTGAAAGTTTGATACTTAAAACGTTTTACCAAGTAATACACCCTGGTATTATGCAATACAAAATTATTTTACATCCAACAAACTGTTGTACAGGAGTTTAATACTCCTGCATATATTATAATACTGCATATTACTGGACAGAACACACCCGAATGTATGTAATATATAGTACATATTGTTTTAGATCCTGTATTCACTTGTGTAAAGCAATGTGTTATTGAGATATAACAGACCTGTGTATGTCTTATACAGGGTTGATCGTAATTTCGGCCACAAAAACATGCAGCCAGCATTCTGCTGGTGGGGGGCAAGGTCCATTGAAGGGCTCAGTGCCTTGTTGCCAGTCAGTTGCATTCCCCAAATAGAACATCCGTGGTGTAACCCTGCGCTGCATTAGTAAGCTTGGAGGTTAACAGGCTGGCAGATCTGGAAGGAAGGGGGTTGGGGAATCTTGAAAATGGCTGAAGTGGCAGTGGGTCCACATTATTCTAGTGGATCCCCGAGTAGCACTCCTGCCTCCCGTGGTCCTATAAAACAATTAGTTTGTTATTTTTGGGGTGTCTTCCTCTTTAACACACAGAACTGGGCAGAATGTGTGTAGAGTATGCTCTAATGAGCCAGCCCTCCAAATTGTACTGAGGTCCTAAGTACATCATAAGATCCCATTTTGCATACACTAATGAGGCTGCTAAACAAAACACTACGTTAGAACAGTATGTGGGCCCCAGCAATTCTACCTCCATGATACCACCATTACTGCCAAGCAGGCCAAGTCATAGTCTTCCTTAATAATTCACCATTACACTCCTGTATAGATGTATACATTGTGTTTTGCTGGGAATAACATATGATGCTTTGGGCCCAAAAGTCATGCCTTTGGATATCTGAGTATGAATGTTCATGTTTGCTCGAAATTTCTCTCGCTATTTTAGTGGAAGTTTTCACCTGTTTAAAATGAATAGGCCAATTTGTTTGTTAAAACAGTGGAGAGATGAATTTCAAACATTTATGCTCAATAGCATAATTTCAAAGCCGATGTATTGTTACTGGGTATATACTCAGATGAGTTGTAGGGTGTTACACTTCTATATTTTAATAGTGTGTAACTGTCTATAACATACCTAGAGCAATATAAATGTTATTACTGGGTATGAGGCTCCAGTATACATTATAACTGATACTGTCGTAGTTTCCTTTTTAGCATCTGACTACTTCCTAAAATCTCTAAAAGTACAAAAAAAACCTCCCTTTTGCCTTGCAACTCTTGTACGGCCTATGAAGTCAGCACATCCTTTGTTGTGACAGACTTCAAAAAAGTGCATTTTGTGCTTTATTTTTAGTAGAAGATGAATGCCACAAAATTCTAGTCATTTTTATTTTTCTCCTTGCATGTTGTCATCACCATCACCGAAGAGTAGTTCTGCTGTTCTCATTCAAAATCTTAATCACAGGGGTATGACGCCTCCCAACAGATTGCTAATGTGTCAACACGATGCAGACAGATTGCCAACCTGGATAGAGCAATGATCTCACCCCCAAAATAGTAAATAGGGTGACTGTTTAGCCTCCTGTGACTTTATGACAGTGCAGAACCAGAAACTAAACTCGGCAAATGTTTCTACATTAAGTGTACAATAACAGATGGCTGGTGCTGAGTTATCAGGCAGCAATTCAGTCAACAACTCTGGATGATGCCACAAATCTCAAGACTAAAGCTTGAAGGGCTTAAGAATTCTTTCAAAGACTGAATCACTGCCTTAAAATTACTGTCAACTAGTTAGCTTTATAATATAGTGTATAGTTTCATCTGTTTTTTAATTATGGTTTCTTTTCAATTCTTCCTACTGTCATGCAGGAATTGGACAGAAGAAGCACAGTACAGGAAGCGAATAAAGAAAACAGTGATACAATGCCTGAAGGTATAGGGCATCAAATAACTGGCACTCTAGAATCATGAAATTATTATTTCATGGATCACCAAGGTATTAACCACACGCGATATACCATAGTTAGTTACTTGGACTGCGTGCTGGCTTATTACAAGTTGAGTCACCTACTGTTTCAAAGGGCTTTTACTGACTAGAATTTTAAAAGTTCACTACATGATGATCTTGTTAGGCTGGCAGCTGTAGGGGAGAGAATGAAGAGAGGCAGTGACACTGAATCTTTAACCACCAAGTCAGAACTTGCAGAGAAAGCATTTTGAGGGTCAGTTGACCAGCAGAGATGAGCGCATGAGTTGTAATTGGGATTGAGCCACCTGACTATTCTTTATCCAGTTACTCTGGATACTCAGGAAGCTAGAATGCTCCTTCTGACAACCTCTCCACCACATTTTCGGTGTACGCTTTCTGAATTCAAGCGCTGAAGCCTTTGTGACGTATTTGCCATAGATTCAGTGTCCGAGTCACTCATTTCAGCATCAGAAAAATAGCCATCAGTCTCGTTGTCAAAGAGCTGCTTCATCTTTGATGACTCTTTGGGCTTTTTTTCCCTGTCTGGGCTTAGCTGCTGATATTTGTTTCCCAGATCCTGCTTCTGCACTTGCGACTTCCTGCTTTCTCTTGGTTTTGGAATCTTGAAAGTTACCCAAGATTTAGGGTTTATGGATGCATTAGGCACTTTAACTGAAGAACTGGGTTTAGATGAAGCAGGTTCAAGGTAGTCCAACATTTCACCAATGTGACTGATATTCCTTATTGGGGATCTACTGGGGAGAGCTGCCTTAGAACTGGAATGATGTGAGGCCTGCTTTTTGCTGGTCTTTCGCACATCGTTGGCCCTTTTGTGACTTCCATTGGCTTTTGACCCTGGTCCCTTCGACCCATTTGTGTAACTGCCCTGGGTAGAAAATTCAGTGGAGTTATCACACCAGGATGTGCAATCTAGTGGAGAGTTCAGCTGTTTCTTTTGTTGATTCTTGGCATGAATGATGCCTGTACAATCTCGTGGGGATTTAGGCTTGCTGTCTTCCCCTGCTTTGTGCCTGGATTTTTTTTCCAGTGCGTAAGATGGTTCTGACTGAGGATCGCTGGCACGGTTCACTGAACCGATGCTAAGTAATGACTGCTCATCATGCAGAAGTTTATCTGACAGGAAACTTGTTGTCTCTTCATTTCCTGCTCTGCTGTGCAAAGACCAATGGCTCAGGAGATTTTCTGTCTTAACCTGAACGGTCTGGGCCAACCAATTCTGCAGAAGCTCCCCATCCAAAGAAATGGAGGATGACAAACCTGGAAAAGAAATACCATAATGAGCAAATCTCAGTGTTATACTTTACTTCTGACATTGTGTACATGCATAGGATAAAGATTCTTCATTAACTCTCAACCTAAATTCAGAATTACTCTATTTTAGGCGAAGGGACTGTGATATGAGATCAGCCTGCCTGTTGGGCGGGGTGGGGGGGGGGGCGCGGTGGTGGTTGTGTGTGTGTGTGGTGGAGAGTTGGAGGGGGTTGGGCAGGGGGATTGGGAACCAGCAATGTTTTTGTCTTCCTCATGCAGACTGCTTAAACAGGTAGAAAGCTCCTGGAAAACTCTCGTTCGGACATCCAAAGGAAGATCATCACAGTTTTGTTGGCAGAGCCACTTTTGAGTAAAAGGCAATTTGAGGGCAGACAGAAATCCTCCAAAGACGGCCTGTGCATATCAAAACAATGGGAGTAGTCCACCAGCGCCATCTCCTCAGTATATGCTCATGGGGAAATATGGAGGAAAAAAAGTACTTTTTGAATGGAGGAGGTTATATCAAGGTCTATTGGTCACTCACTAAAAACAAGGAAATGGTTGAACACGCACGAAGCAGAACTTAGTCCACCCTTAGCCACCACATCTGCAATGCAGCTTGTAAAACAATGGTCCCACATCACTTTATCAACCTTCTAAATATTTAAAGTTGCATCTACAAATTACTGGCCACAAAAGAGTAAGACTTGCTTTTCAATAAGATACTGGCACATTTCACTATTATGGGCAAAATGGTGTATGATGGGGAAAATGTGAATTTGTCTAGTTTGGCAGAATGGGAAAAAAAAGCATATTATCTAAGGGATGAGAGAGTGCAGAGCCCTGGGATGGGGAGGGATCTGGATGTCGCTGCACATGAATCATGAGAGGTTAGTATGAAGTACAGCAAATAATTAGGAAATCTAATGGAATGTTATTATTTATCACGGGGGACAATGAATACAAAACTAGGGATGTTATCCTGCAGTTATACAGACCTTTGGAAAGACCACATCTCTACTATATACATCTTATAAGGAAGGGTGTAAATGCAGAGGCAGTTCAGAGAAAGTTTATTAGCCTAATATCTGAAATGAGGCAGGTTATCTTATGAGGAAAAGTTGGACATATTGGAGTTGTATCTACGGATGTTTATAAGATTAAAAGCTGACTTAATTGAAATATGCAGGAGTTGTCTTGACAGGTGATATGAAGAAGATTTTGCCTCTTATGAAAGAACACAGAGCCAGGGGTCTTATTTAAAAACCAGTGGTCACTTACTTAAAGTGTAGAATAGACAATTTGTTTTCCGAGGGTTGAGTGCCTCTGGAACACTCTTCCTGAAGCCATAGTAGAAGCAGAGTCTTTGAATGCTTTTAAGGCAAAGGTAACTCAGACACTTGTTAAGCAACAGATGAAAGGTTATCATTGGCAGGAATGTGGATTTAAGGTTACAATCAGATCAGCCATGACATTACCTAATGTCAGAGTCGGTGTGAAGGGCCAAATGGCCTACTCCTAATTTGTATGTTCGTAAACCATTACAAAAGGGAAAGAAGAAAATTATGTGATTTCTCAGTGTATTGATATAGCAGCCACAGCAATGAAGTTCATACCAGATTGCTTTGTAATGTTAATTGCTTCATGCACTTAATGACTTAGCCCTACCCAAGTTTCAGCCACTGCATTTAAAACTTCCTACCAAACTGTCCCTGTTTCCATCATTTGAAGTCAGTGCTGGAAGCAATGTTCTTTCTCTAAAATGCATTTTTACCATTCGGAATTTGTTTTGGCTCGCAATCTGAAATTCCTGTCTACTAATAGCAGATGTTTGGGAGCATCAAAGCAGTCTGTGGGCATGTAAACTTGCTGTAACAATTTCCACGACTGACTTGTTCAGTTGGCTCCAAAGGTGCAGTGTCTGTGCCTCTCCTGTATAAACCTTTCTGTGAAAATCTCACTTATACTGGCCTTGATACTTGGAGCTGCTGTCATGTGTATCTGCCGCTAGCTTATTTCCTTCCTGCTGGCCTGCTTTCCCCTCCTGGGAAGTGGTTTAGACACTGGGGGTGGGTGAGGTTCCAGATTGCTTGGTATTTCCTCCGTTCGACCATCAGTTATTTGGATAGGTGCTTCAGCTATGTGTTTGTGGTGAAGATAGCTATACTCTGACCTAGCAAGGAACTGCACCTTCCTGCAGTTACAACTTAGCACAAGCTTTGCTGCTATTCTATGGAGACCTCTTCGTCTCCAGTGGGCAGACCCACTTGTCCCTTGAGACAACAAAACTCCAAATTTTAAAACTATTCCAAACTCAAGTAGAACAACATTGTAAAAATTCATTTCAAGGCAGTTTCAGGAAAGGACTACAGGTTAGCAAAGTGAAAAAAAAATGAACAAAGCACCCTGGCTTATTTCCAGAGGGGTAGAATTTTGAAGTAGGGAATTTGTGCTAAACCTTAGTTAGAGCATACTTACAGCACTGCGGGTAGTTCTGGTTGTCATGTAATAAAATTATTTAGACATATTGTAGAGGGTGTATAGAAGATTTATAAGTATGATAACAGTAATGCTTGAGAATACATATCAGGAAAGAAATGAAAGGCGGGGTGTGCTTTCAATATCAAAAATAAATAAATCTGAACGGTGATTCAATAGAAATTTCAAACTTACAAAATGTTTTGATTGACTGAATAAGGAAAGAATGTTTCTATTTGCGAGGCCTAACTACGGGACATTACCACATTATATTCAGCAAGAAATTGAACAGGAAATTCAGAAGAAACTTTTTACATAACTTGAAAAATGGAGGCAGTATAGGCAGAAACAGTGAACCACACATGCTTCTCCACCAGAGTTTGTTCTGAATACCCACCTGAGCTTCAAGACTTTGAAATACATAGCTCAGCAGGGGTTATGTTTTATCAAACTAAAAAGTGGGTGTTTGCTTGATTGACAACTTTATTAGGTTATAAAAAGTCATTCTTTTTCTGGTCCAAGTCTGTATGTTTATTTTTACAAGATTTAAGAATCGTAAAGTGGAGAAAGTTTCTGTTGCTTTAATGACCCTATTCGAATGACACATTTATAGGCTTCACAACCAGCAGTTTTGTTTGTCAAAGCAGATTTCTAATGATTTTTCTTTGTTTCAGAATTTCAACAATTACCATTGTTATTGTATGGCTCTTTGGTTCTGGACAGTGTGCCTACTGGATGAATGCTTATGGAGGTATCATGGAGGGCAACTGGCCTGGGTAGGAAGAGATGAAAGCGTGACTAATCACTTGAATAAAACTGCAACAAAGTCCCAGTGAACTGAGCTGGGACCTCTGACCAATTTATCCCAGCCTCACATGCTCCTGTGGCTGCCTACCCTCTGCTTCTGGGACCATCTGGCCTCATCCTTTCCCACCGCTACCTCCCTGAAACAAAGATTCCATTTAATAGGGCTTTTTAAACCGATTTGTCTGCTGAGACAGGAGATTGCCTGAACCAAACTACACCCCTGGATAGTGAAAATCCAGCCAGTGACTTCACAGCCTTGTGATAGGCAGCTGGGAGGGAAATGCAGATCCTCTAGCCTTTCATTCTCGATTATCATCTTGTGATTTTCAGATTCTGCCCCATGGCCAAACATTTACCAAATTTCACTGTTCATGGTTATGTTCGTACGTGAATTAAAGTCAACTGGACAAGCTATGAGTGAACTTGTGTAGAAAGAAATGGTGAGGGCTAGAGGGGAGGAAGCAAGTAAAAGTAGCATGTTGGCGTTCTGAACCTGCATGTGTGTCTTAATGGATTAGAACTTTTAATATGTGAGCTCCCAATGAAATGTTGGATGCTGATTTGGGGTCATAATGCCCATTTGGGCCAGTTAGCTCAAATGGCCATATGGATAAGTGTGACTTCAGTCACTGTTAGGCTGAAGGCTACCTCCTTACCTTTTGCCCACAGTAGTGCTACGGCCTTAATAGTGACCAGAAACCTTGAACAATTAGATGCTATTTGAAGAGAGAGAAAGAGTAGTAATTTGCCTTAGCAATTCTTAATTTCCTACCCAGATTATTGAGATAAATGTTACCCCAATTCCTGCTGTGTCTGTGAGGGACTTCACCCAACTGAAGTTTAGACATTCTCAACTCAGTTGCTTGTGAAAACTTGGTTTAGGTTGGGAATTCTCAAGAGACTATCATGATCATCATTAAAATGTGGACTGTCCATTTCCAATCTGAATTAGCATATTTTCATTCCCTAGACCGCCATGGTTTATCCCAAAGACAATGAATCTCGTCAACTGAGTCAGATATCAATAAAATCCCATCTCCTGTTTTAACGTATTGTATGGTAAGTTAGAAATATTTGACACAGAAGGTTGCTTGCAAATCTCCAGCTTGGAATGCCAATTGAGCCAGACGTGGGAATATATAATAGAACCATATTGCAGTTGCTGCTTGGCAGCACAGCAGAGAGAAGGTAAATAAAGCAGTAATTGCAAGGCCGAGAGCTCTGTCTCTCCCTGTTTCCTTCTCAACATCTCAAAAGCTAGCACTGCTGACAGAACAAGTCAGAGAAGTAGCCATTCATTAAAAATTCAAGGATTGTACAAACTTTGCTACTGCTCACGAAACAGCCGTGGTCTCAGCTTCAACAATCCCAAGTCAAGGACTCTCAGAACCTATTAAACTGCATATTCTTTATCTTCCTAATATATCAGACAAATCTTTTCTTAAGCTTTATACTGTGTTTGTATGTGTGCTCGATGTCATGTTTTATTATTTTCTTGGATTTAGTAAATAATAAAATTCCTCTTTCACTCAAGAAAACCTTGAAATTGGCTCCTTAATTCTGATTTATTGACTGCATTTTAATTGAGGTATGAAGTAGCTACAACCCAAAAAGAATGAACAATCTCTGTTGGGGTCTACCCATGGGGTTAAAAAGAAGGGAGCTGATTCACTCCCCTCAACCTGGTCAAAGCTAGCGATTACAAGAATGGATAATTGGTAATGGATAACAGAACTATCAAGCTGCTGCAGTAAAAGATACTTTTCTGCTAAAGCTGAGGAGAGAAAGTTTTATTCTGTATCTGCATCATATTAATTCTTTTCCCTACGAGACTTCATTGGAGCTTTGTTTTGCCTCTATCCTACACCAATTTTGGAAAAACATACAGTAAGTTCTCTGAATAATTTACCTTTCTTCCCTCCTGTCTGAAGTGTCTGATTGCCTTGATTTTCTTCTCTAGGATTAGAAATCTAATGTATATGCATCTGGATTCTCCTCACGCCCAATGTCCCTTGGCAGGTTTATGACAAATAAAGATGAATGGAATTACCATTTTACTAATGCATTATAATTTAAATACAGTATCCCTGGACAAACACAAATTCTGTTTCCTTGTTGATAACTGTTTTTCAGTCTTGAGCAATTTTAACTGGCCTATGATTTCCTTTTGCCTAATCCCTTTCTTCCCTTGATCAATCAACTAGAAACAAATGTATTATCTTTTGCACTTGCATGGGTATCTTAGCACCTACCAGTTAAATGATATTTTCCAACCTATGGTGGAACCACGGAAGCATTTTAAATGTTGCTGAATGATACCTATTTCTGATTTTTTTCTCATTCTAAGCACTGCGTGTTCAGTGAGTAAACCAAGCATCCGTATAAAAGCTTTTAAAGAAACAACAGTTTTATGTCAAAACCCTGTGCTTTCTTTAACACTATCTATTTCTACCTTCTGTAATATTGGCGGACTCTGCCCATACATCAGCTCATCCCAATGTTGAAACCTTCATCCAAAGTCTTTGTCATCACTACACCCGGCTATTCCAATGTACTCTTGCCTGGTCTCCCATCTTCCATCCTGTGTACACCCGAGGTTCATCCAAAATTTGACTGCCTAGGTCCTAACTTGCAGCAAATCCCATTGAGCTACAGGCTATGTGTTTGCAGACTTGCATTGGTTCCCGGTGAGGCAACGCCTCTGGTTTACAAAACACTCCATAATCTCATCTCTCGTTATCGTTCTTCTTATATCTGCAACTTCTCCACTCCCAAAACCCTCTCAGCATCTTTGCTCATTTAACTCTAACTTATTGATCATTCCTGATTCTAAAATGCACCATTGGTGGTTGCACTTTCAAATGCCAAGCTCCTAACCTCTGGAATTTCACATCACTGGAATCTCTCTGACCCTTTGCATTTTTTTCTTTTATTAAATCATATTAAGGATGCAGACATCCTTAAGTACCTTTCGGAATGTGGTTATGAGCTGCTTCCTTGAACTACAGCAGTCCATGGACATTAGGTACACTCCGAGTGTCATTAGAACATAGAACATACAACTGTACAGCACAGGACAGGCCCTTCGGCCCACGATGTTGTGCCGAACTTTTACCCGAAAACTAAGGTCTATCTAACCTCCACCGCTACCTTATACTATCATCCATATGCCTATCTAATAGCCGCTTAAATGCCCCTAATGAGGCCGACTCCACTACCCTCTCTGGCAATGCATTCCACACCCCTACCACTCTGAGTAAAGAACCTACCTCTGACATCTCCCCTATATCTACCTCCTTTCACTTTAAAATTATGTCCCCTCGTAAAAGCTACCTCCACCCTAGGAAAAAGGGAGGGAGTTTAGGGAGGGAGTTTCAGAATTGTCATTCAGCATCAGTAAAGGAATGGTGATCTAGTTCTAAATCAAGATAGTGTGTGGTTTGGAGGGGATCTTGTAAGGCAGGCTGTTCCCATTCAACTGCTGCTCTCGTCCTTGTCCTTCAAGGTGATGGAACCCATGGGTTTGCAAGGTGTTGAAGAAGCCCGAGTAAGTCACTGCAGTGCATCTTGTAGATGTTGCACACAGCTAACACTCTGCGTTGGTGTTAGGAATCAGTGAATGTTGAAGGTGGTGGATGGGTGGATGCTTTGTCTTGGATGGTGTCAAGCTTCTTGAGTATTGTTGGGGCTGCCACTCAAGCAGGCAACTGGAGAGTATTCTGTCACACTCCTGACTGGTGCCTTGGCTTTGGGGAATCAGGAGGTGAGTTAAATGCCACAGAATTCCCACCTTCTGAGCTGCTCCCAGCTTCCTTTAAGATGCTCCTTAAAATTTACCTCCCAAGGTCAAGCTTCTGTTCCTCTGTACATGGATCAGTGTCAGATTTTGTTTGGTGATGCAGATATGAACTGCCTTGGCATATTTACATGAAAGGGTTTTAAATGAATGTGGATGGTTGTTGTTAACTAACACTTTTAGAAACCATCCAATTGTTGGTGACCAGGCAGGACCTAGTTGTGACCAGATGCAAGGTGTAGGTCTGTAGCATAGCCCGGGAGCATAGAGGAGGGAGAGAGAAAGAAATCTTCAGGGGTGGCTATGGAGTGGGGATTTTGGGATGGGGGAGAAAGGGTGTTGGGTATTTGGTGGGGATTTTAGCTCCTGGTAGGTCATTGATTACAGAGAGGGGTTCCAATGACTGAGGAGAGGGTTGTCCCATTATGTACCATTTGTTACCTGGGAAAGGAAACAGCAATCACTCCTGATATCTTTTGCTCATGTAAACAGTGCTGGAAAGACTCGTATCTTTTCCATTCTACTGACCATGCCTTCGTTTTGGCTTTTGAGCTTCCTAACGGCACGAGAAACCTAGCTAGGCAATGTTAAATCTAAGGGATGCAATCTTACCAAAATGAGGGTGGGTGGGTTGTCTTCCTCTGTTAAAAGCCACAAGTTTGCAGATTGGATTTGAGAATCCTTTCTTTCTATTTGCTCTTCTCACATCACCCAAACTCACCTGTTTTTGGGAATTAAAATTACCCACAGGCTCCAAAATTCACTTAGGGCAAAAATAAATAATGGACTGTAAAACTACAGTGAGCCCTTCCAGGAAATTCCAGTCATAAATCTTTCACCGACTCCTGCATGTCAAGGAAGTATGAGTGGAGTTGGGGGAGATTTCTGGAATATCCCGGGATTTCTGACCTTTCTTTGCTGCCAATCTGGCTCAATGGAATTCTCAAATAGGAGTTGGAAACACTTCCATCAAAGTACAAGCAAAGGCTTTAAAAAGTCTTCCAGACAAACCTAACTGAGTTTAAAGCAGACCAATTATCCAGTTTCCTCTGGGAATCGAATCCTTTAGGTGCAGATGAGTCATTAAACTCCACTTTGTGTTTGGTCCATGTTTAGCCTTGGGCACCTCAAGGAGAATGGCCACAGGACTTTGCAAGACAATCAGAGTAGCTGGCACTAACACTCTGCTCCTTGACAATGGTTCTATTCCTACAATTCAGAAGAGTGTTTCCTCCTTTGGTGATACTGCACAGCATTTTCATCACTGGGAGCGGGCTGATGGGATTCAAACACAATGACTTTGGTTTCTAGGGAACTTGAATCCAGAATTTCACATAACTTGGCAATCTATTTCATGAAATCGATAAAATGACAGTTAAAAATGAAGTACAGGAACAGGAGTAGGTGATTTAGCCTGACAAGCTTGCTCAGCTACTGCAACACAAAAAGGTCTCCTCAGTGTTATACAACATGTTCAAATGTTCAGAATATCTTAGTCCATCGAGCTTTCTCTCTTTTGGTTTTTCTCACATATGGTGTTTTCATAATGGCAGCTGATGACCCTTCTCCACTCATTTCAACCAGCGCTTTTGGATTTGGCAGGTGTTTTTAGAACATGATGCTCTTCCTGTCTCTGACTCTCCCATCTCCCCAAACTGTTGGCACCTACACACATTATCCTACTTGCATCCTTCTGTGGCTGTGTAGTGGAACTTGAACCTGGACCTCACAGGCAGGAGTGCTACTACTGAAGAGCTGAGAAAATAAGGCACATATACTGAAAGTGAGCAGATTAGCTGCTTCCCAATTATAGAGTTGGTTACCAGGAAATCTGGAGATACCTCTTCGTTTTGGGGAAAGAAAGCTTTGTAGAACCCCCCTCAACCACAACAAAAGAGTCTGACAATATCTCATGAACAAAGAACAACCTCCTCTTTGCTCACACCCAGACTCCCAGATATACTTAGCACAACCAGTATGTCACAGTTTCTAATTTTCTTTGGTGTTAAACCACAAGATGACTTACCAAGTTGCTTCAATAAGGAACGCGGTTCACTCTTTAACTTGCCTTTCTTCTCGAGACTGCCCTTCGATCTGTTCTTCCCACGCTCCTTTGGGTCACTCAGTTTTCCTTTTGTTTTTTTCCCAGAATATCCTAGGGCAGAGAATCCAAACAGAATTACCCAAAATCTGCCAATGTAAGTAAGTGCTATTTTTATATAATGGAGGGAAAGCTGTGGGAGCAAGATGAAGATCTCGAGTGAGAATCTCATCCAGGTATGACTGAAATCTGGATTTAATCAAACAGATTCCAGACAACAAAGTGGTGCAGCTCAATGGAACACGAATGTGCATCTTTACTAAGCAGCTGGACATTAAATATCATGCCTGAAATTATCTTAGTCACAATGCTGAACGAAGTCACAGAAGGCAAAGTAGCCTCAGGTAGTCTCATAAATTTCTTAGCAACCAATTCTGTTGGGAGAAATCCAGGACGAGGCTCTCTGTCTGACTGTTTTCTGGAGTGTAGTTAATGGGAGAAAATAAATAGATTGTTTTCAATTCTTTAAGTAAACTTTATGTGCATTTTATGAAGGTAATCGTTATACTTAAAAGTGAGTTATTATAATGTTACCCCAGCTGAGCTACTTAGAAACACATGAGCGATGACATGAAAGCTCAGGGGAGGATGATTTATCAAACAGTCAAAAAGACACCTAACATGTGAGTGAGTTTTATTATCTAAGGCTGCACAATTTTCAAGTGTAGGTACAACTTTACTACTTTATCAAAAATAGCTTTTAAATAAACATGTCCTGAAAAGCTCTGAATTTCCTGCATTTTACTTGCATTAGAGGCACCTAATTGACCACCAATAATAACCTATTGTTGCACAGTTTCTGACGGATTTTTCCTACAAATATAAGTTTGTTCAGGATCTAACATATTTTAAATAAAAACAGAAAATAACGGAGAACCTCAGCAGGGATGGCAGCATCTATGGAA